TAAGATTCTGAACGAAGTGAATTAATGTATTGTATTTMCAATGATCWGTGTTTTTTCTGTCTGTCTTTATCATTCGGAATGTTAAAAATGCTTCGATTTTTAAGATCAGCTGATAGAAAAGTGAATCTAGTTGGTACTTTTGAGAGGTCAAAATTAAAAATTGATTAGTTTTTTGAGACGTCTTGAGCAAGCATAAAGCATCTACGGGTACTTAAGATACCTACGTATCTTATGAAAGTATATGACTATTAATATTTTTTGTAGTACCTATTACGCGGTTAGTTTTGGAACACTGCGTGCATGTTGGATGAGAAGTTGTCACGAAAAATACCAAATTATCATCCATCAGAGATGCTTGACCTCAGAAAACATTAATGACTGAGAGAAACCACCTATTCACAATGTAACTCTCTATTATAATTGGTTTTTAATAATTATAACAAGATATTTTTAAAATAGATCAACAAGATTTATTTTCAAACTTATATTGAAAGTGAAGTCAAAAATATTTTTATAAAAAACAATGAATATACCTACATACAGAGTGTGAGCACTATGATTTCCTGTGGAATTAAAAATGTAAAAAAATGTAGTAAGTGTATTTTTTACTAAACAAATACTTGATGCATTCTTAATATTTGATTATAGTACCTATATATTTTTAAAATTCCATCCATCTTTCTCGTAGATGTTGTAGACGAGTCACAATTTTGTTAATATTGAACTTACACTAATTATTGCTTAATAAACATTGAAGAAAGTCCATACAAACATTCTTTGCTAATTTTATTAAGAAGTTTAGTTTTTAATGCTTTTATGATTTTATGAGTACCGACCTATAATCGTATTATGATCCACTACCTGGATCATAATTTACTACCGAACCACATGTTCAATTAAAGTTCAATCACAATCTCTCATATGCTTACGAGTTACGACCTATCTTTTCCAACTGTAGTGCTAGATTTGTAATTGATATTACTTATCATCTCATTAATTGATTGTCCACCTGCACCAACTTGTTCTTTTTTGATGTTCTACCATATATATTAATGTCATTCTAAAAGTTATTATTCGGATAAGTTTTAACATTAAATAACTGTCTATGRTACTATAGACTTAAGTTATTTTCACTCATAGCGTATGTTACATAGGCCTTTTACTCATAGACCGGTTCATCCGATACCAAATATATTGATAGTCGCATGTCAACATGGCACAGTAGTGCACCTCGTTAATGTACACCTATGATGGTCAAACCCTATTTCTCATTATTATATGGGGATAGCTCGAAAATACTATATCTCAGTGGTTCTTAACCTGTGTTCCGCGGGTCCCTAGGGTTCCGCATGAAAAACATATTATTATTTGGTGTTCCGTGGTATCAAAAAGGTTGAGAAACACTGCTTTATCTAATTCACCAGAGGATGAGGATCGATCACCTCTGTCGAATTATTTACAAAGCGAGATACATAGACGGTGATTTGACCATGAAATGAGRTACCTACGTTAAAATAATAGAAATACACCTATTTAACACCGTATTTTATAATTTTTGATTTTTTTTTTCTGGAAAAGTTGAGTTATACAACTAGTTTAGTTATATTGTAAAAAATAAATTGTAAAACTGAATTCATCTTTTTGATCAATATTTATGAACAAAATATATGATAACTATAAATATTTGAAAACTTTTAATAAATAATAACATTACATACGTAATATTTTTATGAAATTTATCTGTTTATTTTAAAATATCAAGGTATATATTATAATAAAAAATATAATAATATATTGTATATATATGTATTAGTAGGTATTTGAATACCAATAATATTGAATTAATGTGTACAGTAAAATGTTTGAAAAAACAAATATTAGAACAATTTATTGTTAATAAAGAATAAGCTTAGGCAAAGAGTTACAATATTTTCTTTTTTTAATAACCATTGATTCTTCATTCATCAATCWTCAAATACATGACAAGATAGCCACGCCATTGATAATAATTGTATAGCCATCTTCAAAAAATACAATTATTTGTCTATTTATTTATTTTATTACCAATGACCCAAAAGGCCAAAAGTATTAAAATAATTCACAGTAATCTAAAAAAAAGATTGTGAAATGTTGACAACAAATTGTATCGCGTATTCCCGATTAATATGCACGAATAAATATGATTTGAAATACAATGTATAGTGGATAAGAAATAGTGGATATCATATTGAATCAGCCTCTCAATTCAGTATTATTGTTTTGACAAGGCAATTCTTTAGCAACTGATTAATAATATATAAATAATACATTTAGTGGTATCCTTCGAGTCATATATTTCATAGTGTTCACTATACATTGTAAATATGGTAATATAAATATAAATTGTATTACGCGAAACTAAAAAATATTCAAAATTATTTACATGTTATTAAATAGTGGGAAAAAGAAATATATATATATATATAATACTATTATTGGTAAAACAGGACGTGTATATAATAACAATTTGTTAATAAGTTGTGTTTCTATTGAAAATTTTATCATTCTGAAGACGATGGCTGATTCGGGGTTGAGTGCTTCGGCGAGGTGGTCGGAGATTTGGAGTTGTCTTCTTTCCTTTTCGTAAGTTCTACATTCGGTTAAAATATGTTTAACCGAGAGGAGAACCCCACAACAAGTACAATCTGTTGTGGGACTTCTTTTTTCATTAAATAGGAGTGAGTGAGCTAGGCGAGTGTGTCCTATTCTTAGACGGTTGATGGAGGTCTCTTGTTTTCTTATGATGTTGGGAGGGGGAGGGAAACGGTTGAATGGATTTCTTGATTTCATTTAGTTTGGTGGAAGTTTCATTCCACTCCATTTGACGTTTTCGTGATGTGTTATCCTCTATGACTCTCTTTATGTTATTAAAGGAGAGCATAGGTAAGGCAAGGGCACCTGAGGACAAATGGGCGAGTTTGGTGGCTACATCTGTTTGTTTAAACTCAGAATTATTAAGCACAAATGTTCTAATATTTTATTATTCAGACACAATATCATCTAAATAATAAGAATGTATTGGGTTAGGGTCATATATAATTGCGTTTATTTTGGTTTCATGTATTCAATGATATTTTTTAAGGTTTCAGCTATCAAAAATATAATGACGTAACGCTTTATTTCTTTAGATACCGTAAAGTGGAGCCACTTTGATTATTTTTTTTTAGTTCTATACTTATTTTACTAATAACCAACTGAAATATGTAACATTTAATTTTTAATAATTATTCTACATTCTACCCTTAACTGATTATTTCCCAAACCAAATTATTTTTTCATTTTACATTAGTTATAACTAGGATAAATAATTATCAAACTTATCCACATTAGTGTGATATTGATACTGTCCTGTAAATGCGTATAAAAATGGGAACAGTCATCCAAGTGATCATTCTCGCCCCACAAAAAATCGGTTTGGTAGTTTTTGAGTTATTGAGGTTTTTAGTTTTAGGGTGACTTTGATCGGGTATCAAAAAACACGAGAAACATTGGAGGCTTAAAAATTGCCAAATAAATATTTCATGGTAGAAAAAAATGTTTGTTAGAAAAAAATTGAATGATCAAACTCATTCCACCTTATGGTATAGATTTAACTGGAAAAATAGGTAGTATTGTATAATATATTTTACATGATGCACCTATTYTTCCTACATTAACTGCACTATACAAACTTCTGATGAATTACACTAGGTACCTACYTAGGTAGTCTATAATAAGACTATAAAATATGAAGACAAAAACCACAAAACAATATTGTCACGCAATTGATTACTCCTAGAGAAACTGGACGGTTCTATTTTCGTACATAAACGAGATACCGTTTTCCTCCACAAAAAAAAGGTTGGTTTCCATTTTACTCCAGATTATTTTCGACTAAAAYGATGACTATTTTCCTCCAATATTTTACACAGTGTTGTAGTATTACATTCCGTATTATAAAGATAGAATACATTTATTGGTTGATGATTACATTCTGGTATTGGCTATCTATATCAGCTGTCGTCGAGGGCGGTACACAGCCATAATGAACCTTATTTCCCTATTTCGGCCATTCTGAAATGACTGTTTTCAGATTTTTAATGACATCAAAAATTATTGTATACGAGTATGCGTCAACAATATTGTCGATTATTAATTTATAATATATTGAATTAAGTTAAAAAGTATACAAAATAAAAGTTATATTATATTATTCATTTACACAACAAGTATAMAATTATGTGGATTTTAAATTGTTTTATAGTTATAAGTTATAACACATGCCTAGTGCCTACGCTTAATAAATTATATTCGTGTTATTTCTCCTCTCTCATAAAAGAATATTTCATTTGTGACCAAAACAGTGTGCYGGCCGAAAACGGTCATTTCAGAATGGCCGAAAATGGTGCCGCCCAATTTTACAATAGTAAAAACTACATTTATCAAAGAAAGTCTCAACGAAGAACAAATCTCAAAGGGCATTCAATTTATCACCAAATGCAATCTCATCTCAAAATTCTAACATAGTTAACACCTGTATTTTAAATCAATTGTATTATTCAAATCGTTAATATTATAAAAAAATTTGTTTTTTTGACTGTAAAAAAAACAGCTAATAACCTTTACAGTTCGCAAATCACTTTAAATAAATAAAAAAGTATTGTATATGAAACGTAGAAAACTAAAATTATATATAACGGTAAACAATACGAAAATATATTATTTAAAGTTTATCAAAGCCAACGATTTCTTTCAGTTCATATAAACACTGCAATTTAGTCAATTTGACACCATTTGTTTATTTTGTTAACAATTCATTAATACACTAATATATTTAGAATCTCTCCGTGTTACATAAGCCAATATAATAATGGAAATATAATAAAACAAACTCACCCAATATTAGAAATTTGTATTGATCGAAGTTGTACATTCAACACTGTGAAATTTAAATATATTTATTTATATATATTTTTAATTTAGAAATTAGACAATCTAAACAAAAATAATAGTATAATGAGCATAAGTGATGTTTTTTAATTCATTATAATGCGGTGGCTCGAGGAAAGAATCAACCAGTGAAAACACTTTGGAAAATATATATAATAAAAATCGTTGAACTAAAACAACATGTATTCATTATRTCACTCATAAATTAAATTTTTAATGTAGGACTGGAAGGTTCAGATTTTTATTAAGAATTCTCAAAAAATATGAAAACATTGTTTTATAGTAATTAACTTTGCATGCACTTACAGAGTACAGGTGAAACAGCATGTAATCAACTGCAGTAATATTGTCCTGAAAAATAAATATTTAAATCTCTTTTTTAAAACAAATTTCAACCATCTTGTTTTAATGGAATTCCCAACTTACCTGTAAGTATCACTTTAATCCAATTCATGTTATTGACAGTCGTCAGTTTGGTGTGCGTAGATGGTGTCGATTCATCGCAGACAAACCTGTTGCTAACTACTCCAATGATGTTCAATCTCCCAGTAGATGGGTCAGACCATAAAAGTGGGCTACCCGAATCCACTTGACAAGAATTGACTTTGGTGAAGTATGTGCACAACTGATTGCGGTAGGTCTCGTTTTTATACTTTTCGACACATTGTGACGTCGGCACAACCTTGAGGTACGATTTCTGGAGATTGCCAGATACGGGATGATCGTCAAAGTTTACAGTCCCCCAACCTGCGTTAACAGAAATAATATTTATAATGAAAGCAGCTGGTAAACAAAATAAACACAADTCGACAGTGGATTTAACAAAAACGACATTAATATAGGTACAGYGAATCATTGACTACCTACCAAATACTCTGATGACATCACCATCGAAATCGTTGTAGATGTGCTTGAATGGTAAGCACGCTGGTCCTACCTTAGACGAAAACGGAATTACTTCGTGAGTCTCGACGATGGCCAAGTCGTGTGCAATGGATGACTGATCAAACAACGGGTGTATATAAATTTCGGTGACCACGACCAATGATGACGGATCACCATCGCTACCTGGCAATCAGTACACATATTATTATATTATGTTAATCAGTATAAAGAATTACATTATAATGATATATGAGTTCTAAGTTGATATAATTTTAAAAAATTTGAAAATGTCTTCAAGAAAAAATGCTTCCAAAAATATAAGATCGTTGAAAAATGTAACGTATGACAAAATTATTTCTGATTTTTACATTAAACAAATGCAGACAAATGTGCAATATTGCACATTGAATATTACTACAGAGTAATGGTAGTATAAAATTTAAAAAAAAATACCATTCCAATGTCGTATTATTTTTTTTATGTAGAAATTGTATTTACTTTTAATAGAACGTAATTTGCTGAACCATTTTAATAATAAGTAATACACAAATTTTCAATAAAATATTTATTTTGACACACTTTAGAGTTTTCCATACTTTAAAATACTGTTCATTTTATTCTACCATAGGTACTGATAATTTTTTGTTTATATAAGTTAATAAAGATTCTCATAAAAAATAATTCTTTTCTTTTTTGGTACATAAACATAATAAAATATAACTTAAATTATTAATTTACTTAGGCTTCTCAATGTTTTAATTTAACATCGTTCACAGTTTTTATAAATTTTTAAATGTATATAGGTACATTTAAAGGTTTAATATTAGTCAAATAGCTTATTAACTAAATGTAAATAAATCATGAAAATAATAAACGAAGAAGAGGATTAGAAAAATTAATTTAGAAAAATAATTGAATGTACATATACTCTACAAAATCCCTCTATTGTCAAACATAATGTGTCCCCATAGCTTTAAGATCATACTCTATAACTACTATTTTGTATTTACTGCAGGCTAATAACCTCAGGAGTTGAAGCCTTATTTAAATAAAAAAAAAAAAAAATAAACGAAGAGTCAGAGAATTAAAACGAATTTCTAATGAGACATTATTGTTTCATTATACGCCTTTCCTCGCATTAACTTGTAAAAGTTAYTGTGATTCTTAAATAATTTATGAATATTATTTTATAAGAAGGACTCGCGGTACTTAGATTTTGTTAAAAAGCACGAAAGCTGAGAGATTTTAACATTCAAATTATATAATTACGAATACTAAATATTTTAAGCATAATAGAAAATTAATTAAATGATGAATAACGCGTGTAAATTGACTTATATGTATAATATTGTGTACTTTACGAAATCTTGGAAAAAAAGCAGTTAGATCTTATGATGTTTACCTAAGATTGCCTAAATTTAGTGGTAACGAAAATCAAATCTTATTTCACTTCGACGGAAATGAAAAATATGTTTGTTTTCACTGGATAGTTTTTCCCTTTGGCACATGCTAAAAACTCCCTAGACCAGGCGCATGTTCGCCGTTTACTAATAATATAATGTACGCTTACCTAGAGAGGTCATATCGTGGTCGCCAACCAAAAGGGCAATTTGAAACGGATTGACATTTGTCAGACAGTGGGCAGCAGTGAGCGCGTGGTGCCTGCTAATGATCGTTGCGCCGCAAAAGAGGTTGGCCGTCTGCCCGTCGATCAGCGAAGCTATTAACGGATACTCATTCACGCCACCTGTTTTATCGTTGGCAAACACTCCCTGCGAAGATAAAAATTTCAAAACATAATATTATACTCATATAATTGGCATACAAATAACTAATTTAGTTATTGGGTACCTAACTAAAATGTTTCCTGTATTCTGACAATTTCATAAAGATTATACACTGAATATAGGTAGGTAGGTATCTTAACAATTATTTTGAATGATGGTGAAAGTCGATGGATTTATTTTAGAATGTCGTTACATTATATACATATTTATATCAATCATAAATTATGCTAACATAATGTATGTGTGTATTCAAGTTAACCTATATATGTTAATATGATGTATTATATTGAAATAGCAGGAGCCGCCCCGGTTAAGAGTTATCCTTATATTATTTATGTTTGTATATGTACCTAATTCCTAGAGGCAACAAAAGTTAGTTTTTGAACTTTGCCCCGCAATTATGTTGCACCAAAACTACACGATTCTTAAGTTTACAAAATATAATAATACATGACAAGAATCTGCCTCAGTACACATACGGAGTAGTTGAGGCAGCTGCACCTTTCTTCGAAATTTCAAGAAAGTTTAAAAATACTTTCAGTGTTCTGTGCTTCATCAAATACGCATATCATAACCATGTAGCATAATAATATTGTAATTTGTATGAAGGTTACTGACAATTCTTAAACATCATATACCCACGGAACTAACTTGCCAAACTTATGTGGGATTCTATAGTTATAATTAAGCCTCCCCTACATAACAATTTATCGACTCCTAAGCGAGATCCTTGTTAACCTACTGACCTGAGTGTAATCATATAATATTGATTTTATAGTTATTATTTTATACCTTGTCTTGCTCTCCGCACTCGCAAAACTGTGGATTTGTCACGGTCTCCGGGATCCAAAAATCCACACGTTTCGCTCCCACCGAGCACATGAATCGTCCACTTTTGCTCTGACGTTTTGCCACGAACTTGATGTACATCCTGTTTGTACGACTGACTGCTGTGAACGATCTGGGTCCGCAGTGCCTGACGCCGTCCGTGAAGTTTGTGTCGCCAACTCGAGACACAATCAATGCATCCGATTCACAAAAGAAACTCTAAATAGAAAATCGTACAATTCGTACATCCGGTAAACACATTGAACAATTATGTAAAATACAAAACGTTTCGTACAAAGTTGTTTTATTTATACATTTATTAACAGCTTATTTATTATTATTTACAAGTTTGTGTTTAAATTAATTACTGCAGTAAAACCTCTCTATAATGGACCCTMWATTAAACGGAATCCTCCTWATAACGGAAAATGTCAATAGTCCCGGTGAAAATAATATATGCAATTTGTACCTTTCAATACGGAAAACTCTTTATAACGGAATAATGTTTAGTCYCAAGCGATTCCGTTATAGAGAGGTTTTTGCTGTATACGATAGAGGTCGAAGAGAGCTTATATTTATCAGTAATTAAGATAAAAGGACAGGAATATAGTTTGGCATGTGTAATAATATGATAAAAGGCATATAACATATATAATATATGTATTTAGGTATGTTATAATAGATATTAGGTGAGTGAATTTCTTTCCATTGAAGGTTTTGAGAAATGTAACTTTGCTTTATATATTTCATCTTCGAYGTGCAATTAATGACATGTATATCATTTTTAGTATGAAGCTTGCAAACTTAGACCGCAACAACTAAAAATTAACATATTTAACACGTATATCAATTTAAATGAGTTAGAGATTAAAAGCGGAACAATGATCGTATACCACAGAGACACATTCATGTATGGGTCTAACGAACAAACAAACATATTATTAAAGGGTTTTCAATGGAGATTTCAATTGTTCACTCGTTTGATACCTATTACTTATAGGGGTCTTCAGTTGCGTTGCAGAGAGCAGTCTCATTATATTACTATATTTGCCGGTGTMWCATGACTGCACAGAATAATATATGGGTGCACTGCAGTGGAGCTGCAGCTACCGGGTACATTATAGTATAACAATAATTATCTAGCAGATAAATAATATTATATAGTATTATAATACCTCGGGCAAATCAAACACGTGGCAGTCCAACACCAACCGGTCGGCGGGCGAAGGCGTCTTGGCGAACCACCGACATTCCCGGTCCTGGTCGTCGGCCASATACGGGTCCGGGTAACCGGGCGAGTACAAGTAGTACGACCTGTTGCCGGGCTCGATGAGCTGGTAAAACTCGCAAAGGGTGCCGTCGAAACGATAGTCGTCGAAGTCTCCCGAGTCCGCGATACAAGTTGTTACGGCGCAGCACCAGCACAACAATAACAAGCATTTGCCGATCGCCGACAGCCGCAACACTGACGATGACGATTCGCCACCACCGGTCGTCGTCCAGCGGTGCATCATCAAMATTTGTTTATAAAACGTTTTTAAGAAAGTCACGAGTGTGTAGTCGTCACGGCGTGTGCGTGTTCAAGTTCCCGTCGAAACCCGCGGAATGATGGCGGACGATTTTTCAGTCGCGCTAATTCTGTTGGACGTAGTCGCACCACCAGTTATTTTATTATTGTCGAATGAATTAAACCGCTGCAATGACGTGTGGGAGGCCGACAACTCGATTAACGATTTAATAATATTACGTACATCATTATCGGTAAATTATTATAATATATTATGGGAAATGCGCACTGCAGTGCACAATACAATAATGTGACGGTAGATAATAGCTTACATATACATATTCTAATAGAAATCAAATCGGGAACACACCGCTGTGCCGTCGACTGTTTTGGGTCGTAATTCAATTTATTATAAACTTGGGGCGTCCGTAGATAATCGCTCACTGGAGGTATAGGTAGGTAGGTGTAGGTATAGCCATTAAAATATGTATACACTGAATATTTTAATTAGAACGCGCTCGATGGCGATAAATACAATTTCTCCGCGTGTCGCCGTCTGACCTGCGGTGCGTAAGCGCCTTTTCACTCACCCGAACAATGAGCAAAACAATACACTGTATTTTTATTTTTTATGAAAAAAAATAAATAAAGGAATATTACGAGGCGCCAGGCAGTTCTAGGTTAGATGGACGACTATAACTGTGGAGAGAGGGGATGTCATTAAATATGAAAGCAACGATAAATCACTGCAATTCAACAAAGTGATTCTGTGCGGTATTAACCCTAAAATTATACACAAGCTATTTGCTTGGAAGATGAGCTTTTTCTACAGCTCCGTTAATACGTTTCGTTACATCACACTCATATAATAATAACATTATAGTTTTTATAGTATAGTAATCGGTTATAATAGTTATATTATGTATAAAATCGGTGTATTCTAATAGTAGAYTGGTTGTAGTTTTGTATATTATCGTTTTATTATATTACACATAATGATGCTTGAGCATCTCACTGAGACGGATGCTTTTAAAATTAAAAATATTATGTTAACTTTTTGTGTTTTTATTTTTCAGCACTTTTTATAAATCAAAATAATATTATAGCTTATATTGTATGTTGAATTCTGATGATCAAGTAGAAAACTTTAAAATTTATATTATCAAATGTTTAAATAATTTATAAGATTTTAATGATCTAGCAGTAGGTATGATAAATTAATAATAATTCATAATAGTAATTATACAACATGCCCTGTACATGACATGTTTACTTATTTCTTATAATTTATTTTGTGATGCATACAATTTAATATATTATAATACAGTTATTGTAAATAGTATATTATATAATATATTGAAAGATTGACTGTACTTCCTGTACTTTTTCCTAGTTACCTATCTAAATAAAAATTAAAAAATTAAAAACTTACAATCAAAATAAAAACACCACCGTTGCAATTATAACGTTTCTAGGACAACCTATGTAAAATACGTTACCTGTCTGGCCCAAGAGCCGCATTCATATTTTTTCTGCGTTACGAGAATAGCATAGTAATTAAGGTGGGGGAGAGGGTGATTCCATTTAAAAATAATCCTTCTTACCTCTGCAATTGCTTTAATGTAAGCGTGGCAAAGTATTACAGATCATACGTCTGGGCAAGGAACACGCATTTTACAGTAATGAACAAACAAATTCATCAGACAGTTCAAATTATAACAACTAATAAATTAGGTCGTTTCAAATGCAGTGATGGTTATTTGCAATCCTATCGCCCATACAGGTCCATCAGCACTATGATAAAGTAAGAGTACTATAAATTAATATTATATTAGACACCATTTAAAATAACCAACATGGCAACACCTAAAATAGTCCCATTTTATTGGGGTATTGTTGAAAATCCCTCGAAAATACATGATTTCTAGAATCCCTCAAATCTAGACACTTTATTTGTTATTTGAAATATATAAACATTGAGTGAAAATTGGAAAGAACTATAAGAATAGTGGAGATCATCAAATTAATGGAACTTATTTTTAGTAGATAATGTGGACATAAAAATGCATATCTATGAGCATTTTGGACTACTCTCAAGTGAGTTAGGACTATAAAAGGCTATACGTTATGTATAAATGGGGTATGTGGTATGTCAGAATAACTCAATTGTGAATTTAGCGTGGAAAAACAACAGTCAGTGATAAATAGACTTATTAAGACCCATTACTTAAATTCTTTGACTACATTTCAGGGAGACATTTGAAAAATTCAGAACGTATAGACTGAATCAGTAAAAAAAATTTTAAAGTGCGTTTATAATCTCCAATGTTAAGAAACATTAAAAATGTTCACAATTTTAAGGATATTTTAAACTCTAGTTACCAATACCAACATTGTAGATATAATTTAAAGTCACTATAGGTGCCTCTATTGTGAGATTTTCTACCATTCCATCATTCATTCTTGGTTTTTCTCATTTCTGCCATAATTATACAGAGAAACCTCCTTTAACGGACACCTCCAAATAACGGACGGAATTTTGGGAACGGTGAAATGTGTACTCACTGTATTTCCCCTCTTAATAGCGGACGACATTTAAGCGACCGAGAGTGTCCGGTATTTAGAGGTTTCAGTGGTTTCACTGTAATTTATTGTACACCTGTATTATAGATCGTAATATTTTCTAAAATAAAGTCATATACACATATATATATATATATATATATATATATATATTTAAACGTTACCTACCTTGTAAGTTTTTGTGATGATATATTAATCTAGTAATTATATAAATTATTTTAAAATTGTATGTATACAAGACATTTTTATGTCATATTAATATATTTCTATTATCAATGGTAACAAGGGAAGTATAAATATTATCAAGCAGTCCACGTGATGAAAATCAAAAAACTTAATACGAAATCAGTAACTTACAAAAAAAGTTTACATTATGCACCACAATTTATAATGTATCTCAGTTGGATCAAATTTCGCAGGACATGCCTATGCATAACAGGAATAACCCGTAGACACGCCTATGTAACCGTGTTAAGCGTATATAAAATATTATTTTATTTTTATAAAAATGTAAGATAATGAAAAGCGTAAGCAAGCTGTCTCCCAATTATATTATTTAATATACATAAAATACTTATGCATTTTCACATTATTTTATAAGATTAGAAAACAAATAAACGACGAATAACGATCGTGGTATAAATGGGTAACCGTCATTTAGTTTTAATTGAATTAATTTAAAATAGAGGTCGAGAAGTTCACAATAGTATTAATTCTGCATTTCGATAACAATTTAACTAACGCCGTTTTATTCAACAATAATTTACTTTAATTTTAATCGTAGTAATTAACATTTCCAAGTAAAAAATAATAAAAATTAACAATCTAAATAGTCACTGGGATAAAATATTTTTTATTAATATGTTAATTTATATACCCTTAATTGATTGCATTATGATTATATAATCATATCACCAAAACAAATACATTTTAAATTAATTTAAAATTAAGCATTAGAAAAAATATAGGGTTTGCTCTTTATGCTGTTGCGTTAGGTATAGGTAGTAGGTAATTAAAATTAAACAACACTGCTGTTAAACATTGTTGGTATTCCATTATTCATTAAATTAAATTACATCACGAAAACTAAGACGTTCAAAATTGAAATGCTATAAGTACAGAAAGATGTTTCCGAATTCTGATGAACAATTTATTAAAATGATAGCCACGTATACAAACAAAAATTTTGAAAAATACATAAAAACAACTTCTAAATCAACGTTTGATATTATGTTTTTTACATTTGTGAATATTAGAGAACTGGAGTGGCTTAGTTATCCATATGATGTATTTTTAATCCCAACACGCCCATTATAGATGGATTATTCTGTGAACAATTGCTGGATATAAATATTAAATTATAATATTTGTAGATTTTACAACATAAAATTATTACGTCATTTCACACTTGTTATTTTATATTAAATACTTTTAGATTCTGAGCGGAGCGATGAATGTATTGATTTTACCATGAAGTGTGTTTTTATTTATTTAATTTTTTTTTGTGCCTGTCATCACGTTTTGGGGCAGTAAAAGTGCTTCGATTTTTTACTTCAGWACCTCGTTCGATCAGAAAGTGAATCTAGTTGGTACTTTAGGGGGTAAAAAGTGAAAAATTCTTAATACTTTTCTAAATAATCGAGAAAAACAAACTAAAAATTAAGGGAAAAACGGGAAATTTTACGCACACTCATTTTTCGACAAAATCGATTTTGGTTTTTGATGTAACTTTAAAACAAATGACCCTAGATACATGAAATTTTCACCAAATGTTTATATAAGTATATTCTATCCACCATGCAATTTTCAAAAATTTTTGACTTAAGTTGAACTATTCATAGATATTTGCAATTTTCGATCATTATTAGTTTTTTTTTTTAAATTAATATCGATAAAAATTTATTTGTTAGGTAGAAAAGCTTGAAAATTTAATACAGTGCTCCTAAAATATTTTTTCAATAGCAGTTGAAAAATAAAATAAATTCGTAGTCACAATTTTTTTTACAAGCATTCAAATTTTAATTTTGACAACATACGTAAAAATCACGAAATTTTTTAATAATCTATAATATATCCTAGACAGATAAACCGTCTCCGCTCAGAATCGTTTTTCGTATACAATGATATAATATCATTGGATTCTAATTTAATTCCATCCATTACAGTAACCCACTTGTAACCTACTGTAGGTACAGCAGAGCGACATCCACGACTTGCCCGCTTTTTTACGTTTATTTACACGGCGGCGTCCGGGGCTGCCAGATTTAGACTGTATATTGATTTATAATTGAAATCAACTAACCATTTATTTGTATAGTATATACAAATGTCAAACTCTCCTTCCCTTCCCCCTACACAAATTCAACTAAATATGTTTATCCAATAATTGTTATTTGAACGTTATTATGGCTTATTTAATATTTAGAATACCTACTATATGTACCATATAATTAACATAATTTCAAAATATTGTGTTAGCATGATTACAGAAGGATTCAAACAGTTTCCCTCTAGTCCAACAAATAGTTAAATATTTTTATTATTATATCATGTAGATAACATGTATCCGTTTCATTTATCAGATAAACGATGAA